TACTTTAATATTATTGGCGTACACTTCAAGGAAAACGCCACTCAAGCGAAACTATTAAAAGCACTGCTAATTCATCTGTTTACAATGAGGTACTTTTTAGAATCTTTCATAACTTATAGCACAAAGACGTTTTCCCAGTTATTTAGTTAACAAACCTTTTATCTTGTGGTAAGATTTTTGATACAGATGGTCAGGAGCGTTTTGGATGCCTACCCAAAAGCCACTACGAAGGAGTAACTGGAGCTGTTCTAGTCTATGATTTAACCAATCACAGAACATTTGAGAATATTGCAAGATGGCTGACAGAAATTAATGAGCATACAGATTCGTCCATTGCTACAGTGCTTGTAGGAAATAAATGTGATTTGGAGCACTCACGAGCAGTCGACAAAGAGGAAGCCATTAAATGTGCAAGTGTATCGAAAATACCATTCATGGAAACTTCCGCCGTAGATACTACCAATGTGGAAAAAGCATTTGTTACGATCATCAAAAAGGTCCACGAGATTTCTTCAGCGAAACAGAGAGTAAATTGCTGTTCCATTCAGTAGTAATTGCGTTAGGGTCAAAAATCTATTAAATTAGAATTACCGTAAAATTCCGAAAATAAGCCCCTCCGTGTATAAGCCCCCCAAACTCGTAACGCAAGAAACCCTCCGTTAAATCGCCCCTCCAAATATAAGCCCTCCCCCGGGGGCTTGTACTTGGAAATTGCCCTCAAATACAAAGTAAAACAAAGCAAAAACTGTAAATGTCCTTTCAACTATAAGGCTAGCCAAATCGATTTTGAAACGCAAATTTCGCTCCGTAGATAAGCCCCTCCAAAAATAAGCCCCTCAAAAAGGGCCTTTGAAAAATATAAGCCCCGGGGCTTATTTTCGGAATTTTACGGTATATGTCATGAAAGATATTGTTCATCGTGGTTAATGCGTGTAAGGGTTTCGTTTATCTTTTGTCTCACGATTCTCTAATACCGAGTTGGGAAGCTTTTTAGTATTGGCAAATCATAGCTTAACTTCGGTGGCTGTAATCCTTCAACCGGCGCCAAGAGATTAGGAAAAGATTCTCTCTTGCCAGCCAGTGTACAACCTCGTCTAAGGGCTTTTTCCTTAGAAAAAACAGTGGCGGAAAAAAACCTGGAACGAGGAGAACTCTTCATTGCTGATTGTTACTTTGTTTTATCGTCCCGCAAAGGTGGATAAAAAAGAAATAGAGTGATTATGAAAAAGTTAATTAAACAAAAACAATATTACAAAATGAAATTAAGAATAAAAACAGAAAGAATTATTTTACTTCAACTTGTCTATGATATTTAGCCTACATACAATTATCTACAGTTATTGAGAATTTACAAGTAAAAATTGACGATTCATAAAACAGTGATTGGATGTACAATACTAAAGAAAGAATTCAACGTTACTTCAAATTTACTGGGATCTATGTTTGCCGTTCTAATATAATGAAGACCAATTACTTGATTTTTTGTTCTTATAATACAATAAAAATGGTGACAAGTATTAAAATGAGCTACTTACACAAAACCTAATCGATAAACTTTCATGCAGGTTAAACCTGTATGTCAGCAATTGAATATTATGATAGTATAGGAAACGACCACACGGTCTGTCTCGTGTAGCGGTAGCATGGGGAAGGAGGTGTGGGTAAGCTCCCCTTCCCCCACCCCCCAAACACCGCTCCCTTACCACAGCGGTCATATTCCAGACACTGCGCATAATGTATGAGTAAGCGCAAACCATACGAAGAAACAGACGAACAAAAAACAAACAAAAAAACCTACTTTCAACATTTTATGTTGAACATATTTAGCGTTAGAGTTATTCTAAATTACACTGACGTCTCGTTGTTAGCAAATCATGACATTTTCGTCAAAGACATCCCCTTAATATATCTAGGTAAAAGTATAGAGAAATTATATTTAACATTATTTATCATGGCATTCAAAATATATTTTATATCTGAATGGCTTAAATCTCCCCGCTAATTATTCATAACCAACTAGCATTGACCAAAATTGGAAGATATTTAGATATTTGCCGATAGTAATTCGATTGACGTCAATCGTATTGATATCGAAAGAAAAAGGGACGCACAGACGTCGCGTTAAGCGGCGGCGCAGTGGATCGGCTGTTTTGACAGTGAAGAGATTGAGAAAATGGCGTAGGATTTCACACGTCCATGTTGGCTACAGTAGGTAACAGCAGTTTACCCGATTCAATGGAGGAGAGGGGAGGGAGAGGGGAGGAAGGGAGGGGGAGGGAGATACCTAAACAACGAATTCATCATCACTATCACTGTCACTATCTGCTGGAAGTGTTGGTTGCTGGTTTTGAGAAGATGACCTGTCCGTGTTTCCACTGCTATCACTACCCACTGGGGGCAGACCGCTGTCCTGCAGTGAGAGTCTGATGGCTCTTTTTATATCGTCATCAGGAGACGAGGATATATCTGAGGGAAAAACATTACCAACAGTTAGTAAAATTGGCAGTTACGTTGAAACTAAACACTACAGCAAACAAGAAGCTTTTGAAATTAAAAGGCAGAACAATTTATTTTAGCTATTGAGGAGAAATAACCAACATGTAGTTTTTTCCTTACAGTACCATTGTTTGATCAAACATGAGGCTGATGAGAAACTGATCAGCAAGTAAAACCAGTCTGGATTGTTATTCAATTTCCCCTTATTAGTACCACGGGAAATTAATTGAGAAGGGTGTGAAGAAAATGCATGCTTATCAAGGTTATTAATAGCTACCTCCTACAGCAGAATCTTGAAGTGATAACTCTATAGCTCTTTGTAGAGAGGCACTATCCTCAGTAGAAAACACTGTCATGGCGGCGGCCATGTCTTGCCTAGGCTGTGTCTGATCTCTGTTTGAGCTTGCTGAGCTACTAGAAGAGCTTGATTCTCGGCCTCTGTGATTGGCTGGGGTGCTGTGTTGTAGCAGGGAAAGATGAATGGCCCTCATAAAATCTACATCAATGTCCTCATCAAACTCAGCTGGCTGGCTTTGGCGGTGACGTTCTAAAGCAAACAACAACAACAACAACAAAAATAATAATAAATTAACAGAAATGCACAATAAGAGGATTTCTACCCGTACCAGTCACTAGCGTTTCGCGCTCGCCCCTGAAAGAAAAACGGGTAAAAAGAAGCACGCGCCTGAGGAGGAAGAAGGAGCTTAGGGGAGTAGCAATTTCAAACCAAGCTACGCGTAAATCACCGAATGCTCTTAAGTGACACACTGCCCTGCTAGCAGAGTCGCTTCGATCTTTCTTTCCTCTTTCCCGACTTATCTAGGAAGATCGAAGCGACTCTGCTAGTAGGGTAGTGACACACAGACAAGAGTCGAAAGTTATTAATGGCGCGTGGCGTTTGATACAAGCTGGAATGGAAAATAAGTTTCCTCTTTTCCTTGATATTAAACAAAGAACAAGATTTCAAGTTACTTTTCTTTTTCTCTTCTTTCTTGTTGGAGCTGTAGCCATGTTTACATAAGTAACAGGAAGTCATGTTGAATTTTTTGTGAATAGTTTCGCAGTTGACTCTATCTTCAAGGGGCGTGGCTTGTTCTCCTTCTGCCCTATCACCGCTCTGTTTTATACCCAATTTCGCTAAACGTGAACTGAGAATTGACTGTTCAATTGAGGAAAGCACTTCATCAAGGTTGCTCTCATCTTCATCAGACTGAAAAAGAATAAGTTGAAGTATTTGAATTGTGATATTTGAATGTTTTTGCCAAGAGTGATGCAATTATTCTTTAACTATCCTGGTGTTTTAATAGGGACCGTTGGTCGAATTTTCAAACCCAAGTTTGCATTGGTTAAGATGAGTGCGAGGTGGCACGGGAGCAAGAGATAATGGCAGGGGGAAACAGAGGAAGACGACGGCAATTTCCTCGCTCTCTCGCTATCCGTAACACCTCACTCTCCCGTGTTACGCTCGTTATGAAGACGAGTGTAGTCGGACAGGTCACCTCTGTTAGCTTTACTGGGAAGTGACAGGAATAAGTGAGACAGGTTGGAAATTCCTAGTGGTGGTAGCACGCGGAAAAGGGATAAAGGAGTCGTCTACCAGTAAGCTAGAGTTGCAACCTCGTTCCCAGGGTTCTCTCCTTTTCAGAGGGACAAGTAGAAGATAACCCTGAGCCAGGGACTGTGATCAATGTTAAGGTCACAAATAAGATGTGAAGTAAATTTCTCAACCTAATGAGATATATTATCAATATATACAGCAAGTAAAGAGAGGCTTTAAAGTTACCTCACTGTCTTGACTAGCACCTGAATGTGAAATTAGACTTAGCCTGAAATAAAAACACACAAGTAAGAGAAAGTTCAAATAAATTATCGCAGATAGTAACGAATAAACCAATGTGCAGCTGGATCGATTTCTGCGCGCTTCTTTTTTCAGTGCGTTAAATCAAACTTCTTGTTTTCACCATGTGCGGCTATTAGAACCCGTCTTGCAACACCCCCTGCCCCCCGTCTACCCTTTCTACCAAAGACAATCACATACCTATCAACAAAGCCTGTGGGTTCTGAAAACTGATCGTCATCGGGAATAACTCCTCGAGACAAAGCCAACAAAAAGTCCTGTCGCTTTCTATGCAGTAGCTGGGTTGTTTGAATTATCTTTGCGCGCGGAGTTCTCAAATAAGGTCGAGCCACCATCTGAGACAAAGTCTCAGTAGCTTCTTCTACTTCAGTCTAACGGCCAAAAAAAGAGGAATAGTTTAAAGTTAAAAACCCAACATTTTGCTCTATGTATTAAGACACTGTTAATGTTGGATTATCTGGGGAGTGTCACAGAATGCTATACTAATTGAAAATTAACTCTGCTTGAATCGTAGCCTGCGTAGCAAGCGTTTTCCGTTTAGTTTCGGAGCAAAAAAAACCGAGGAACGGGATTTTCGGTTTTGACCGCGCAAGAAATGAAACGAGAGCCAAAAAATGAAAGAGGGGGAGGGGGAGGGGAAGGAAGTAAACCTTCCTTTCTTCCCCACCCCCTCCCCGCTCTTTTACTTGCGCCATTTTTCGCGCGGTCTTTGACTCTTGTTCCTTGTTCTTTGGTCCTAAACCGCACAGAGACGCTTGCTACGCATGCGCAGGCTACTTGAATCGTGCATTTGATCTGTATGTCCTTTTTTCTCGTTTTCCTTCCCATCACTCCCCGCTGGCGCTATCAACTCCCACACACGCTTCTCGCACGTCTCCAGTAGCCCGCTTTAACCCTTTAAGCCCTAAGAGTGATCAGCGTCAAATTTCTCCTTGTAATATCACTGCTTTATAAAACAGAGTGTTCATGAGAATTAAGGACATGATCACACAAGATGAATCTAATTGATACTTCAACAAATTCTCCCCACTACTTCTATTGAAAACGTATAGGGATCACAAATGAGAATCTGAATTTTGATGTTAGGATTTAAAGGTTAAAAGTCCGTGTCCCCCAACAATGCCTTTGGAAAGCCTGCGGAGGAGGCAGGTTCTGCAAACTCCTCTTTAACTCTAACATCATAAGCAGTTGATGAAAAAAAACAGCAACAACAATTAAATCAATGTCGTACACAACCTAACAGCTAGTGGACTCAGGGACGACTTTAAGCTGTTCACAATAATGAGAGAGCAAAGCTAATACCAAACGACTGATCATAACGTAAACATGTAACAACGCTAACCTGCATGGACTCAAATATTGCTTTCTTGTCTTTATTGCCGGTAAGATAATAACCATAAGGATATGATGCTCGTAAAACTCGTCTTGCATTAAGTAATTCATGCACAGCATCCTCGATGAAAGACGTATCAACATTATCTGCTGATGCTGCAATAAATCAATCAACAATCAATCAGTTAATCAAAACGACACTTAATCCTATTTGTACTTTAATTTGACTTTACTGCAATTGGCAAAAAACGTGATTTGTTGGATATGATTTACCACTAAGTTATTGGCACTTTTGATGTGGCGCTTCAGACTGGGTGGGTTAAGTTCTGAATTGTACTATGACAATTTTTTGGGAAGAAATTTTGACCTAGTTTCTCGCGGCACAATCTTGTAATAACCAATATAGGGCGATAAGATACCAGTTGTACTCAATTTTTGTTTTTCCTTGGTTTGGGGGTATGGTCATGTATGCTAATGAAATTGAAACAAAGGAAAAACAAAAACTTCTGAAATGAAAAAAATCAACCAAAATAAAATATTAACTGCACTATCCCCATTACTGCAGTTGAAAACAACACCATCCAGCTACGCTGAAGTGTAACAAAATGGCCAATCACGAAAAAGCCAATAAAATATCACACAGACACGAATTAAGGGGTACTTACGAGTAAAAACGTCTCAAAATGCTGGCTTGAATCTGTTTGGACTGTTATCTCGTTTGTCCTGGGTCATCTTTGTGAAGAGGGAAAGCCTTTTAATATCTTAGAAAGGCTTTAATGATTTTGGCTTACCTGTTTCTATGGCAGCCATCGCCAGAGCTGTCATTTTATCTTTAGCTGTACCCAATAAAGGCTCTTCAAACTAAAACACAAAAAAGTAAAGTTTGAGGAAAAAGGAGAAATGTAGGGAACAACTTAGCCCCTTCCCTCCCCTCCAGGCTGACAAATGCAGAAAGTAAAATGCACTCAGTAAAAGCCTTTACCTTGTAACTATTTTCGTGATTCTTGAAGCGAGAGTAGTAATGTAGGAAACAATTCAACTCTACTATTTGGGCATTCTTTGCACTTGCCTGTTAAAATAAATGACAAACGAGTACTGTTCAGAAAGGTAGGGAGACATGGATATAGTCTGAAGCTAAACTCAGAGGGTACAAAAATGATTTAAACACGAAACACAAAACAAGTTACATGTAGATATAAACGATGAAGGTTTGTATACCTTTTGTTCTACTATGGTGAATATTATTGAACAGCAATAACCAAGCCACTAGAAGCCGTATTAAGAAGCATATACTTCTTCCATATTTTATTAAGTTTTCTGATACTTGCGTTTAAAGATACAACTATCACTTACAGATATTGTTTTATTTCAAGCAATATTACAGAATGGATTTAAAAGAACATTACCTCTGACACTAGCTTAGCTGATTCTGTTTCTACTTTTTGCACTACTTCAAATCTATTACACCTGCAAATAAAGAATAAAATATTAAATAAAACTTTCTTAGCAGTATGCGGGATGTTTGTCACATGAACCTAGTTTAATGGCTTAATTTAGAGGAGACTGCAATTTCTGTCACCATCCAAGCCTGGAGAAGGTCTCTAAGCCGCTCTCTGGGCAAAGGGCACAGTACCTTCGCTTCTCTCTTTTTTTTTTAAGACCCCAAGTGTTAGTCCAGCCTTGGGGATCAAACCCACAACCTCCCCTTCCCCACTGAAGTCCATTGCTCTACTGACTGAGCCAAACCTGCTGTGGTTAACACACACTTTCATTCCTCTTTTATTTTAAGACCCTGAGGGTTGGTCTGGCCCTGAGGATTGAAGCCGCAACATCCTGCTCCTCAGTCCAGTACTCAACTGACTGAGCAAAACCTGCTGCAGTTAACGCGCACTTTTTATCTAAGGACCGCAAGTGTTGGTCTGACCCTAGGGATTGAACCAATAACATCCTGCTCTGCAGTCCATTGCTCAACGGACTGAGCTAAAACTGCTGTCATTAATGCACACTTGGGGTCAAACCCACAACCTGCCCCCCCTCCCCCCCTACTCCTCCTTCTGCAGGTCAGGGCCCTACTGACTGAGCTAAACCTGCCATGGTTAACACACACTTCTTTTTCTTTTTACGAAAGTGTATAATGTCAGGACTGTACATTAACTGATTGAAGAATTTCTTGTTGTACAAACCTAAAATAACCTCCTGTAGCTGAACTGTGTTTCTTCCACTGTTCAAGGCAAACCCAGCAGAACTCATGTTTACACTAAAACAAAGCAAAAAAAACAAGCAAAGTTATCAAGGAAGAAACCAGAAGATACTGTGAAGGGAAAGAGCTAGATGCTAACAGATTACTGGAAAGAAAAAACAAATTATAATCCAGTTAAAACATACATACTTTTGTGCATTTCATATGATTACATCCTTCATTCTTCTGAATGGGTGATCTAGAAGGCAACAATTATTGCTTAACTTGGCACCATAAAGCATACTGTGGTTTTCAATTCCTGTAGGTACAATGTGTGCTAACAAAACAAATCTTCCAACCCTTCCAGTATATATATAGTTAGTAATCTGTGTGCTTTTGCTTCGGTATCAAAATAAAGCTTTTACCAATAATTATACACTCTAACCAACTAATGAAACATGTACAGTACAAGGAAAACTCTGCAGGTGTGGGGAAGTGCAATATTTCTTGATTTCACGACATTGCCTGTGAGTAAGCCTGTCCAACAAAAAATCTAGCTGACTCACTTGCAGTTAGGGCAGCATTTGGAGTTTGTTACTAGCCATAACGTGTTTGCAACAACTTCTGTTTCAGGACACTCAGAAACATCTAAAACGCAAATCAGAGAAGAAATGCAGTTGTCAGCAAAGTCTTAAGCCCTGTTTGAAAAGGAAGGCGGATAATCCTCTTAACATAAACAAGGTTAACTAAGGGAAGAGCTATCTTGCCACTGAAACTTGCATATATGGTATTTTGACTTGAACTTTCACTTGACTCCCTTTAGGAGTGTAACCATAGCTGGACCATTTTACAAAGCCACAAAGAAATTAACCTTCCTAGTAGAGTTACAATGTGATCGAGAGCAGATAGGGTAACCCTCTGCCTAGCCTAGGGTAGCCACACCTCTTGTGCAAAGAAGCTGGGACACAAATAGAGAAGGGGAACCTCCTCAATAGACCTTCACTCTCCCTTCATGCAAACAAGGCTTAAAGCAGTTCTAAATGACTGCAAAATATGTGCTATAATGCATTCAGCTCTTTCAGAACCGCTTCCCGAGAATGGCAACCTTAAGTTGGTAATCCTGCCATTCTTGGGTCATTTTCTTGGATATTTGTCACAAGGTAGACACCTCTCCAAGACAGATACTTATAGTGACACTGACTGTAGCAGTAAGAATTTAGTTGACCTTTTGTGGTTGGTATCTTTGGCATCATCTCTGCAATTTTCTTCAGCCATTTACGCCACAGTTCACAGCTACAAGGAGCATGGGCTTCCTGTGCACAGTGCCTGAGGTTCAAGAAAACTGTTTCAAACAAATTGCTCCATTTCTACAAAATATGCTTTTAAGACAATCTTAATGATCTTCACCCATGTGAGTATAAACCACTCTCAGTTTGCAACTTTTATTTCTTGCAGTATAGAATGTGAAAAGATCCTTTCAGGGCTTTCAACTTTATCATTAAATGATTTTGTTTACAAGGAATATGAGATGAGATTGAAAACATCATGCATTTCTCTAAACTGACAAAACCCAGATCAAAATAGTGTATGCTTAATGGGAAACGTACTGTTAGTAGAAAGTGGGTAGCCTGTGCTGATTTCTGTGACTTCTCCTGTGGAAGATTTATATTCCATTCACTGCGATTAGGCACTAACCCTTTTCGAGTTCTTCCACTGACTCTAAGTAATTTGTAAGTATCCATGCCAAACACACTCCATTAGCATAGGCCCCTTCTTTCACTTTGATCTTTGCATATATTGGTGAGTATCCTATGCTTACTAACTTACCAGCAGAAAAAATGACCTTGACCGCAGTCTACAATCATGGCTTCTGTTTCTTCTGATGAGCTCACTTCCCGAGCAACAGGTGATGAGGGTAGCATGCTAAGTGGGAGGCGCACAGCTCGGCCACACCGAGGAAATGGACACCATTTCAAACTGGGATTACTCTCAACAAATTCCTGCCAAAGTATGTTACAACTCGTCATTTATGAAATAATATACATTGTGTCATTCATATGAGTTACAAGCATCTGTGCACAAACTGGAAATGGCTCTTAAAGGCTTGCTTAAAAGGTTGAAATTCAATTTAAGTCACTCCATCTACTAAAAGTCAAACATGACAATGAGAAAACGATGACTTAGGCAACCCTCAAAATGATATTTTTAGGTATGTGCAGTACCATTTGAATGAATGTAAAGACTTTAAATATACAATATTGTTAAATTCAGACCTTTATATCAAAATGAAGGTATCTCTTTGCCATTTCTCTTGAGACAAGGCTTTCAATAGTTTCCTAGAGTTAAAAAAAAAAAAAAGGATCAGCGACAATAGAAAAAATGTTACTATTTTATCGACAGAATATATCTATAAGTGGTTTAAGACCAAACTGATGACCAACAACACAAATGGCATCAGCATGGAGATCAGGATCAATGGTGAAAAATTGGACAAGGTTGACAGCTTAAAGTAAAGGTATCTTGGCGCAGTCATTACAGATCAAGTTTCTAAGCTGCCTGAAGTACTGCCCATAATTGCACAGACAACAGCAGCACTAGCGAAACTGAAGACCATCTGGAACGATAAGCATATCTCTCTAAGCTCAAAGATCAGACTTATGCTCTCCCTGGTTCTCTCAGTACAGTTGTATGCCTGCGAAACCCGAACATTGACAGCGGGCATCGTAAAGAAATTGTAGGCCACTCAGATGAGATTCTTTAGGAAACTGCTTGGCATCTCATACAGAGACCACATGACTGACAATGCAGTCAGAGACAGAATCAGGCAGACCATTGGGCCCTATGATAACATCTTTTAACCACGGTAAAGAAACGCAAGTGAAAGTGGTTTGGGCTTGTATCAAGATCAGCAGGTCTTGCCAAGGCAAAAGGCAATCTAACAAGGAACAGTGCAAGGAGGGAGAAGAAGAGGCTGTCAAAAACAGCGTTGGGCGAATAACATGTTTGAGTGGACAGGTTGAAGTTTTGTGATGCCCATAGAAAATCTGAAACAAAATCAATTGGTGGGAAAGAGTTACTAGGTCCATGGCACCCTAACAGTCAGCGTGACTACCGATGCAGGCGCAGATTAAAAACTCCTCTCTTTCTACTGTAAGTTTGTTTAGATTGTTAATAGCTACTCACCACAGGCACTAAAGCACTACAATCAAATGCAGGACACTGAATACCATGTGCTTTTCCATCTTTAATCTTCTCATTTAAGTATCTGCCATGAAGAACATAATGTTTAACTACATTAATATATCCTGAGGGAAACTAGTAGCTATGGAAGAGATAGTAAATGGCCTTCAGAGGCAATCACTTAAAACTACTCAGCTTCAAGAGTGGGTGGGTGGGTGGGTGAGAGGTCAGGCAATGGTACATTAATTACAACCAATCATATGACAAGTCAAGACCCTCAACACACTAGTACCCAGACTCCCAGATGTGTGTGAAAAAAATATTTCTGCTTCTTTCATTTCTCACCCGGGAGAAAATAACATTTATAGACAGAAAAACAAAAAGATTATAGACTTTAAATACATGTACAGACCTCTCCCAACAGGAGCGGCAGAATTCATGACCACAGGAAAGAGATAGTGGAACATCTTCATAGACTATTTCTTCCACACAGATAGAACAAACCTCCTATGAAAAGCAAACATACAAAACATGAATAAAGAAAAAAGTTATCTAAAAGAAAACAAAATCAAGACCTTGAACTATGTCAATGGAAACAAGTCACAATGTTGGATGATCACATTTCTTATGAATTCATGAATACTCACAGAACTTCTAAAGTTACTTTTTCTGACAAGTTTTGCTTTCTCTTCAAGTTCCGCATTGCCTGTCTGATGATCTGGTTTACATAAAAGGGAAAAGGCAAAAGAATTGAATATTTCAACCTCTCTGCTACATGTGAGTGGTTTTGTTAAGAATGGAAACTCCTGAAGGGCACATGGCTGGCTAACAAGGCAGTTTCTTCCACAAAAATGTTTTACTACAGTTAAGAAAGCCTCCTTTGCCTTGCGGTTGCAATCCTGTTGGCTTCAAAGGTACTCATGATCACTGGAGCTGTGCATGCCCACAAAAATTAAAGTCAATCACTTACTGTCTTTATAGCCATTTTAACAAGCTCTTTGGCTGGTCACTAGCAGTCAGGAGTTGATGACACACATTACAATATTTATGACACAGAATTGAAATATCAGCATAACATATCATAAATACTGATTTTTCAACGGCAAACAAAAACTATGGTAAATTATACCAACTTTATATTACAGTATTATAACACTTTCTTACTCTCTGGAAGAGTGACTCCGGCTTTTTCACAAGCAGCAACAGGATCAGTCATCCATGCTTCAATCAGAGCCTCCTTAGACCAATCTACATGTAGAAGGAAAAACTCGCTATTACCCTGGCTCAGTTTGATGGACAAAACATTTTACAGACTTCTTTTGTCCATGGTTATGAAACTGAGTCTGTGGCTGGATTAAAGTTAACACATGACAGACTTTCAAAAGATTATTTAGGCACAGTGCCAATAAAAAAAATTAACACCACAATAAAAATCTTTAGAAAAGAAATTCCCTCTGAATCTGAATTTTCCTGAATATATGTTGGGTATTGTTAACAGGTAATGGTTATATGCTGACGAAACTTCACTAACCATGGTTCCGCAGCAGACCCTCCGCAGTGAATAATGGCACCTAAACAAGAGCAACACGACTTGATGTTTAATTAAATAATAATATTATTCTCTGTTTCAAAGGGCGTGGTTGTGAGAGCACTTGCCTTCCATCACTGTGGCCTGTGTTCAAATCAGGGGTTGGGGGGTGGGAGGGGGGGGGGGCTAGGGGGGAAATCGACACCGCCTGGGGGTTGTAATTGGGTTTGTGGTTGGTTTTTCTTTTTTGGTTGAAGTTGACAAAACAAACACTTTCAAATGAGTCCTTTGAGGTCTTGAGGGAATTGTTTAATTGCTAAAAATTTTTTTCAATTACGTTTAGTTGGAGATCGGAAGGGGGAAGGACCCTCAGAGGAGAGTAGTGGCAAGTAAAAAGGGGGAAGAGGGGTGGGTGTTAATTAAAATTATAATGTTTTTGTGGGGTTGAGGGGGGGTGGTTGGGGGCGCCCGTGCCTTGCGTCAGTGGGGGTGTTGTTAAAATCGGGGGTGGGGGGGTGGGGGGGGGGGGGGGCTAGTGTGGAAATCGACACCGTCTGTGGGTTGTAATTGAGTATGTAGTTGATTTTTCTTCTTTGGTTGAAGATGACAAAACAAACACTTTCAAATGAGTCCTTTGAGATCTTGAGAGCATTGTTTAATTGCTAACAATTTATTTCAACTACGTGTAGATAGAACTGAACTTCACAAAGACACTTCTTATTGAAATTCTGCAATTCCTACCCTGAGCATATCAGCAGTCTCCACAAGCATCAAGTCCTTAGCTTCTTGTAGATCTTGAGCACACAGGCCTCGATACTGTTTCTAAAATATAATGATGATAATAAAATAATTATTTCCTTTTTAAACCAGTAGCAAATCTGTATCCTGCCACCTCAAAAGTCACCTACAATTAATCATACCTGGTCATCTGTGTTAATAAATATAGGTTCCTCAACAGCAATGGCACTTGGACTCTCCTTGGAACAAAGTTTGAAAGAAAATGAAAAAATAATAATGATAAGAATAACAATAACTAACTAATTAATTACACTACCCCATAATTATAGCATGACTTTTGCTTGTCATTGTTTACAAAAGAGAAAAATCGTTCCTCAGATTAAACCAGTATTCAACCTAAATTGACTTAGGTTTGAATCATGGGTTAAAGCAGCTTTTTCATTTTTCTGTAAGTATCATCTGACACATGTACGAGTGGCATCAGTTGAAGATTTCTTTAACTTAGAAACATGATCCATACTTACAGAGAAAACCATTCTCGACTCCAAGAAAGACGCAATATCATTAAAGTTCCCTTTTATTGCACAATCACAAGCAGTCTCTCCATTTTTATTTTCTTCATACAAGGAGGCACCAGAGGCAACCAAGATCTTAAAAAGAAAAATAATATTTTAGGTAAAAATGGTGCAGAGCTGCTTAGTCTCCCCATCTCCCTTGGGGACTCCCAGTTTTGGCAAAGATCCCCCAATCACCTGCTGAGTTCTAAAGTTCTCACAGCAATGTTCCCTAGCAAGAGCATGTTTACCTGAACACAGTGAAAAAGACCTGATCTAGCAGCATAATGCAAGGGTGTGTTACCAGCCTAAAAAAAGACACATATTATAGTCATTAGAATGTTACTATATTGAATATTTACCACTTTCATTGAGACATCATACAAGTTGTAGTAATGCTAATAAAAATTGGCTATTGAGTTGGCCCTCTTGGTTATAGAACACTTTCTACATAAACCTTGAGTAAATCTACATTATCTAAATTTGTACCATTTTGTTTGGACCCTGAGGTTGCTTGGCTGTTAACTAATACTGTATTCACTACTGACTGCCTAGTTTAATACTGTGAAAGAGGACTTGGCTGTTTTAAGTTCTTTTACTTTGTCACATATTTTCAATTGCCAGCAATAAATTAGAATCGAGCTTCATGTGATAAAAAAAAGCACTTTATTTGAGTGTCAATGTATTTAGCACAAAAGTGCTAATTGGGGACACTATATATTTATGTCTCCTGATGGAGACGGGACCACCATTTTACATGGTCATCCGAGCCACGCGAAGGTTCAGCCGCCTGCAGGGCAAAGGAAGTACTATCATTTCTCAGTTATTTTAAGACCCTGAGTATTGGTCCGGCCCCGGGAATCGAACCCGCAACCTCCCGCTCTGCAGTCAAGCGCTCTACCAACTGAGCTAATCCTGCCGTGGTTTCTTAGTTCTAT